AGGGCAGCTGGGGCAGGGGGATGAGCGGGGAGCCAGGCAGAGCAGCCACAGGGCAGCTGGGGCAGGGGGATGAGCGGGGAGCCAGGCAGAGCAGCCACAGGGCAGCTGGGGCAGGGGGATGAGCGGGGAGCCAGGCAGAGCAGCCACAGGGCAGCTGGGGCAGGGGGATGAGCGGGGAGCCAGGCAGAGCAGCCACAGGGCAGCTGGGGCAGGGGGATGAGCGGGGAGCCAGGCAGAGCAGCCACAGGGCAGCTGGGGCAGGGGGATGAGCGGGGAGCCAGGCAGAGCAGCCACAGGGCAGCTGGGGCAGGGGGATGAGCGGGGAGCCAGGCAGAGCAGCCACAGGGCAGCTGGGGCAGGGGGATGAGCGGGGAGCCAGGCAGAGCAGCCACAGGGCAGCTGGGGCAGGGGGATGAGCGGGGAGCCAGGCAGAGCAGCCACAGGGCAGCTGGGGCAGGGGGATGAGCGGGGAGCCAGGCAGAGCAGCCACAGGGCAGCTGGGGCAGGGGGATGAGCGGGGAGCCAGGCAGAGCAGCCACAGGGCAGCTGGGGCAGGGGGATGAGCGGGGAGCCAGGCAGAGCAGCCACAGGGCAGCTGGGGCAGGGGGATGAGCGGGGAGCCAGGCAGAGCAGCCACAGGGCAGCTGGGGCAGGGGGATGAGCAGGGAGCCAGGCAGAGCAGCCACAGGGGTGCTGAGGCAGGGGGATGTGCAGGGAGCCAGGCAGAGCAACCACAGGGCAGCTGGGGCAGGGGGATGAGCAGGGAGCCAGGCAGAGCAGCCACAGGGCAGCTGGGGCACGGGGATGAGCAGGGAGCCGGGCAGAGCAGCCACAGGGGTGCTGAGGCAGGGGGATGTGCAGGGAGCCAGGCAGAGCAACCACAGGGCAGCTGGGGCAGGGGGATGAGCAGGGAGCCAGGCAAAGCAGCCACAGGGCAGCTGGGGCAGGGGGAGGAGCAGGGAGCCGGGCAGACCAGCCACAGGGCAGCTGGGGCAGGGGGATGAGCAGGGAGCCAGGCAAAGCAGCCACAGGGCAGCTGGGGCAGGGGGAGGAGCAGGGAGCCGGGCAGACCAGCCACAGGGCAGCTGGGGCAGGGGGATGAGCAGGGAGCCAGGCAAAGCAGCCACAGGGCAGCTGGGGCAGGGGGAGGAGCAGGGAGCCGGGCAGACCAGCCACAGGGCAGCTGGGGCAGGGGGATGAGCAGGGAGCCAGGCAAAGCAGCCACAGGGCAGCTGGGGCAGGGGGAGGAGCAGGGAGCCGGGCAGACCAGCCACAGGGCAGCTGGGGCAGGGGGATGAGCAGGGAGCCAGGCAAAGCAGCCACAGGGCAGCTGGGGCAGGGGGAGGAGCAGGGAGCCGGGCAGACCAGCCACAGGGCAGCTGGGGCAGGGGGATGAGCAGGGAGCCAGGCAAAGCAGCCACAGGGCAGCTGGGGCAGGGGGAGGAGCAGGGAGCCGGGCAGACCAGCCACAGGGCAGCTGGGGCAGGGGGATGAGCAGGGAGCCAGGCAAAGCAGCCACAGGGCAGCTGGGGCAGGGGGAGGAGCAGGGAGCCGGGCAGACCAGCCACAGGGCAGCTGGGGCAGGGGGATGAGCAGGGAGCCAGGCAAAGCAGCCACAGGGCAGCTGGGGCAGGGGGAGGAGCAGGGAGCCGGGCAGACCAGCCACAGGGCAGCTGGGGCAGGGGGATGAGCAGGGAGCCAGGCAAAGCAGCCACAGGGCAGCTGGGGCAGGGGGAGGAGCAGGGAGCCGGGCAGACCAGCCACAGGGCAGCTGGGGCAGGGGGATGAGCAGGGAGCCAGGCAAAGCAGCCACAGGGCAGCTGGGGCAGGGGGATGAGCAGGGAGCCAGGCAGAGCAGCCACAGGTCAGCTGAGGCAGGGGGGTGAGCAAGGAGCCAGGCAGAGCAGCCACAGGGCAGCTGGGGCACGGGGATGAGCAGGGAGCCAGGCAGAGCAGCCACAGGGGAGCTGAGGCAGGGGGTTGATGGGGAGCCAGGTAGAGCAGCCACAGGGGAGCTAGGGCAGGGGGATGAGCAGGGAGCCAGGCAGAGCAGCCACAGGGGAGCTGAGGCAGGGGGGTGAGCAGGGAGCCAGGCAGAGCAGCCACAGGGGAGCTGAGACAGGGGGATGAGCAGGGAGCCAGGCAGAGCAGCCACTGGGGATCTGGGACAGGAGGATGATGGGAGCCAGGCAGAGCAGCCGCAGTGTTGCTGAGGCTGGGGGATGAGCAGGGAGCCAGACAGAGCAGCCACAGGGGAGCTGAGGCAGGGGGATGATCAGGAGTCACGCAGAGCAGCCACAGGGTGCTGAGGCAGGAGAATGATCAGGAGTCAGGCAGAGTATCTGCTGGCAGCTGGGGCAGATGGAGTGTCGTGGGCCACATTAAGCCGACCCAGGGGAGCTGTAGCCAGTGTGGATCGGGGCCTAGTAGACATAGGAGGTCTTAGATGTATGGGAGTGATGCATTCTAGTCTTCCAGTCACTAGGTATCCCAGCTGGTTGACTTGTTGGGACTTAGCTGAGCAGTTACCAGGGATCTACAGCTGATACTGTATAAGATACTAAGATAAGCAGTTAAGGGGGGTACTGTGTCATTTAGCAGTTCAGGGAGCCAGGCAAAGCAGCCTCACGATACTGAGGTTAGTGGTACTGTGGTGTTCCAAGCTGAGCAGCTTCAGGGTAGCTGGGGTTAATAGCAGTGTAGGAGACCAGGCTGGGCAACTATAGAGGGTCTGAGGTAGTTGGACATGTCCGGAGTCAGGCTGAGGAGCTACAGGACATATACGGTTCCAGGGTGTGTAACTACAGGGAAACTGAGGCAGGTAAGAGTATGGGAAACCAGACTGGGCAGCTACAGAAGAGCCAGGGTCAGTGAGAGTTCCAGAAGATCAGAGAAGCCTGGCAGCATAGCAAGTAGGAAACTGGAGTGAGTACCTACAGCAGAGCTAAGGCAGCTGAGGGTGTGGGGCGTGGAAAGAGCAGGCGCTGGGTGCTGGGGCAGGTGGGTGTGTGGGGGGCATGGGCTGAACAGGCGCTGGGTGCTGGGGCAGGTGGGTGTGGGGGACATGGGCTGAGCAGGCGCCGGGTGCTGGGGCAGGTGGGGTGTGGGGGGCATGGGCTGAGCAGGTGCCGGGTGCTGGGGCAGGTGGGGTGGGGGGCATGGGCTGAGCAGGCGCCGGGTGCTGGGGCAGGGGGGGGGGGGGGGATTGGGTGGGGGGGTGGGGGGGGGTGTGGGGGGCATGGGCTGAGCAGGCGCCGGGTGCTGGGGCAGGGGGGGGGGGGGGGATTGGGTGGGGGGGTGGGGGGGGGTGTGGGGGGCATGGGCTGAGCAGGTGCTGGGTGCTGGGGCAGGTGGGTGTGTGGGGGACATGGACTGAGCAGGTGCTGGGTGCTGGGGCAGGTGGGGGTGTGGGGCATGGAAAGAGCAGGCGCTGGGTGCTGGAGCAGGTGGGTGTGGGGGGAGGGGCATGGGCTGAGCAGGCGCTGGGTGCTGGGGCAGGGGGGGGGG